CACTAATGATGAGCAAGATGCATCAAGGGCTGTATGCCGTGTTTTAACTACCATGAGCAGCGATCTATTATGCTGCGGCATTGCTGTTATTGCACAGTTTTTGTCCCGTATTTTTATGATCTCTCCTATCTATTACGTGTGCTTGAAGATTTTCTAGCTTGCTAGAAGAGAAACAAAGCTAGATTTGTGGTAATGAAAATTAGAATTTATATTTGAGAGTAGGCAAAAATTGCTGAAAATAAGACATATTTCAAGTTAACATCTTCAAAAATCTTCCTGCTTTTTCCAAATATATTAATTTTCCAGGTATTTTCGTTAATAAATTCATGGTTGCTGCAACGCAGTTTGCCGCCATTTGTTGAGGAAGATGGAATTGCGGTCGATTCGTTATCACTTCTACTCATTCATTTTCTTACTTCATTTTTCCACAGTCCATACTTATCGTCAGCCGGCGAACGCTTATCATCAGCTATTTCGTTGACACAAAGCTTACTGCAAACTACACGTGATCTCGCAAATCCTTCAGCACCGTTGCAAAAACCACTGTCAAGCAGGGTATGGTGCGAACTAATCAGAAGTCTTGCGGACGGTGTACGAACCGTTTCTTCCAGGTGCCTTAAATTTCTTCACAGTTTTGTAATGTGATGTGTTAGAAATTTTTTTTACAGTTTTTTTTTATTGATACTCCGGAAACAGTTACAGCTCTTTTCAACTTTTCTGCTTCAGGTCTGATGCGTACGGACGTGCAACTTCTGGTACTTTGGCGCAGAATCTTCTCGGTGCTATTGTTTTTGTTCGAGCAATAAGCGGTTTGTTTGAAAAGCTTTTCCGATAGATTTTATGAGGTTTTTTGCGTTACTAAGGCTTTAGGGGTTATAATTTTTAAAAAAAATGTTCAAAAAAAGTTGACTAAAAACTCCTTCGTACTTCCATTGTCCGTACAAGTAGCCCGAGTGCAGTAGATTGTCAGCAGCTACAGCCCTAGTAAGGGCGCCAAGGTTCCTTCTTAAAACTTTGTTGAGTGTTTAAATAAAAGTCACAGATTTAAATCGTTATTATTGACCTCTTGAGCACTGATCGTTTTTATTCCCATGTTTTTTCATGGGGTTGAAATTGGCGCCGCAGGAAATTATAATCGCTTGTTCAGGTATCGAAATTGAGGAGCGAATCTGGGACGATGTGTTGGCGGTGTTCCAGTCTGGTTGCTGGATGCAAATGGTGGAGCAGTGGAGTCGTGTTGTTGACAGTGTTACCCGTGCCCTCATTCTCAATCTTTTTGCGGTCGATATTGCTCCACCTACTGAGCCAGTAAGTTTTGTTGAAGAAAAGCCGTACTGCAATTCC